AATTGAAATGTTTACATCAGAAGCCAGAGAGCTAAACAACCACTCCGGTTCAAAGCAATCACACATATGATAGGCCCCCACATGCGTGAATAAGACGCCACCTGATACACAGCACCATTACAAGCATGGGGAGTGAAAATAAACTCAACCGAACTTGATTGCTGCTTTAGATGTTGAATATCCCAAAGAAAACCTTCGACGACGGCATCTGGTTGCAATACTCCATTTAACATGTCCACCATAACCTTTGAATTTGTTTCCAATTGAACTATCCCAAAGCCTTTCTGCACACAAGCCAACAAAGCCGCCCTCATCGCTTCCGCCTCCGCCATCAAACTGGACTCACATAGAATGTTTCCCGCCCCTCCAGCTCCTTTGAATACCAACAAAATCTCTGGAAACCCACCCAAAGCCACCCTGCCCAGTTTGCTTACACCAAGCCCCATCACAATTTAATTTAATTGTTTGAAACGGAGGCTTAGTCCACCCGCCCCCGATCTCCCCACCTCCTTGAACCTGACGACATGACTGCATCACTTTGTCCCCACCACACTTCTCAATCTCACGCCATTGTTGGTGCAAGAGCTCCAAAGCTACACGAGGCTCCAGGGCAATCTTTTAAAAAATCACACTAATTCTACACTTCCATATTCGCCAAAGACCACATACAATCCAACGCTTTAGTTTTCCGGCATCCTTAGTATCGTCATATTTATGACAAAGCCATTGCCAACACTCCAGGAAGTCACCACCCTCCACCATTGCCGAATCGAATTGGATTGGAGATCCAAACCAAAAAACACGGGCAAAAGGACAATGGAAAAATAAATGTACCTGCGTTTCCATAGCTTCCTCACAATGCAGACATATCGTCTCCAAACAGACACCACGACATTGCAAATTAGTACGCACTGCAAGAATGTTTTTGCATCCCTTTCATATAAAATGTCGCAACTTTGGAAAGACCTCCAAGCGCCAAATTTCCGACCAAACCAGATCCTGATTTTGATCCCCACTCGATTGTCCCATACCTTTACGACTGAGCTCCCCGTCTTGATTCATCTCTTGAGCAACCATGTACCCCGATTTTACCGAATACACTCCATTCATTGTATAATGTTTCAAACTTATTTACAATCCTAACTGAATACACTTAGATTTCTATTGATTAAAATCCTTTAAAATCTCAACTGAATACACCCTCTAAGTTTCTTGACGTGCTTTCTTGCTTACCCATCTTGCCCACACCAAATATGACCCATGCCACACATAATATGTGGCAAGATACATAGCAAGTGATGAATTAAATCAATACAACGTAATTCACATCATGGGAAATGAGCACTCTGTCACGAATGGATTCTTTGGCTGGGAGAAAGGCTTTGGTAATCAATTTAATGCTTAATTTGGGAGTTCTAATTTTTTTTCCTTAGAACTTCTACGTATGTAAAAGTTTTTTTTTTTTTTTTTATTTCGCCAAATTATAGGAATTTTGCTAGTTACACACACAGATGATTGTAAGCCATTGATTAGTTCTCTTACAACCTATTTTAAAATGATTGAAAGTCATTCATTGATTGCTCTCTCAGTATCAACCAAAGATTCAAATGGTGTATCGAGGTCGCAAGGCTTAAATTTCCATGCTCCATAATGTTGAGAGAAAATTATAATATCTCCCAACAATGAAATATGATGATATCATGAAAATCTAGGATAAGGAGAAATATAGCCCATGTCCCGTAACTTGTACGAACCTAATATATAAGAACCCAAAGAATATACGTGATTGAGATGTTTCTCATTACAAAAACGAACTGACTTGCCTTTTATATTAAAATATTTAATTAGGCTTTGCTTGTTTCGTAAGAAAATAAATAATCACACGAGCCATTACTAAGCCTGCGTCAGTGCTTCAGTCTCTATAAATACCAGCCCAATAGCCATATTCTTCATCCTTCCAAATCAAAATATCGCAAGAATACAAAGACATAAATTGCCACTGGTTTAAGTAGCGTTCCTTTCTTTAATTTAGCAGCGTGATCATGGCTCTTTTTCTTCAACATAATTCATTGTCTATCACTACTCTTGTAACCTTGTTTTCTATTCTACTAAACCTAAACCATAGTTGTTGCTTCAACCCAAAACTCTTTAACGTCTCAAAGCTTCAGTCTGACTCTGACTGGTCACCGGCCGGTGCAACTTGGTATGGACCCGCTGACGGTGCTGGGACTGATGGTAAAGAATTTCTATATATTGGTCGCTTATTCGTATATTAACATATGTAATTGATTGTCACATTACTTGGGAATGTGATATATATACTGAAAACATGTTTTTATGTTTTGTGTAGGGGGTGCTTGTGGTTATCTGGATACTGTAGAAAACCCTCCATTCTCTAAATTGGTGTCGGCTGGAGGCCCTTCTTTATTCAAATCAGGAAAAGGATGTGGAACTTGTTATCAGGTTAAAATTGCCCCTTATAACTGTTGAACTCTAGACATAAACCCACATATATTAAAACATCTAAATAAAACCCAAATTTTGAATTTGATGCCATGTAAGATAAAAGATGTCCATACATTTAAAATTATTTACAACACCATGCCACCAACATTAATATGGCTATTATGGTTTTTTTGTAGACTTTTAATTTATTGTCTTTTGTTTGTCAACAACATTCAATTAGTTTAAGTTTTTTTTTTTTGGCTTTTAATTAAAAAAAAAAGAAGTTCTTTTCTTGTTTTATGTGAAATTGCCTAATCCAAATCTAATTAGTTCAATATACATTTTATTGAAAAAGTAGATACATTAACTTGTGAAAATTAAAAAAAAGAGGTGAAAATAAACTAGTAGATACATTGTTTCTTGTAAAAACTAAACAATAGTTACCTTATTTTCATAAATAAATAAAACAATATGTAATTAAAACTTAAACAATGAATTTATAAGGTAAATTAGTTTGCATGTATTTTGCATATATGGGTTTGTTATTATGTAGGTAAATTATTTTTCATGTATTTTACATATACTGGGTATAATATTTTTCTTTTTTTAAGCAATCTAACATTTAAAAATTTTAATAGTAGGTGCACTATTTGAATCAAAATTTTTTTTGTAGGTAAATTATTTTGCATGAATTTTACATAAATCAGGCATATATATATATATGTGTGTGTGTGTGTGTGAGAGAGAGAGAGAGAGAGAGAAAGAAGTAATTTACCTACATTAATATGTAAAACATAATTTTATTGACTTAATTAAGCATGTATATAACATTTATCAGACATGTTTTATGTTATTATATATTAGGCAATGAATTTATAACATTAACGTTTTTTTTTTTTTTTTGTGAAATCATTAATTCTCCCTTACCATCCATCCACATGGCATTAATTATGTACATCAAACATTCAAATAGGGTTTATAAAAATAAAAAATAAAAAATCTAATAGGGGTATTTTAGGCATCCAAATTTTTTTTAATATGTGAAGTCAAACATAATTAATGAATTTGCTAATGTGGAATCTAATCAATGGGTTTTATTCAAGAAAAAGAACTTATGTCGGGTTTATGCAGAAAAAATTAAGTTTTAGGGGCTAAAGTCATTTTCAGTTAAAATTATGTAGTGGCTCATGTAAAAGTTGTGACACATACTAATAGAAATTCACTGTTCTTTCTCAGGCGAGAATATACAGAAAATTATATCTCAACTATCAAAATGAGTAAAAGAAGCCTAAATTAATTAACTTCTGGGCTGGCCCTAATTGCAGGTGAAGTGCACGGGGAATTCTGCATGCTCAGGCAATCAGGCAACTGTGATTATAACTGATGAGTGCCCAGGATGTACTTCAGAATCTGTTCATTTTGATATGAGTGGCACTGCCTTCGGTGCCATGGCGATTTCTGGCCATGAGGGTCAATTGCGGAATGCGGGAGTCTTGCAGATTCAATACAAAAGGTATTAAATAGAATGTTGAATATGATGTCAAAGTACGCCCTCTTACCAAATAGTCTGACATGTTATCTGGCTAATTATGTTATCAAAAGTTATTCAAATCACTAATTACGAGATGCTATTGAAAGGATACTGATCCCCTATTTTCTATATTTGTACAAGTCCCTACGGCTAAGAAATAATAACTCTATTATTCCAATCTTTTTAAGGAAAACTAATGAAAAGAGCTTGAAAACTTTAAGTTTTAATGATAAGGACAAAATAAAGGGTAAAGTGAATAGTACCAGATTTGACTTTTTAGTGTAAAAATGTGGTTTTTCATTAAAGTGAACAGTACCGTGAGTTTTTCGTTAAAACTCCCATCTTTTTAACCTTAAGATTGTTCTAATGTTCTAATCTTTACTAAATGTATAAACTTTGCTATAACAGAGTGAACTGCAGTTATCCTGGTGTGACAATAACCTTCCACGTCGACTCGGGTTCAGACCCTTACTATTTTGGAACTCTAATAGAATTTGAAGATGGAGCAGGTGACCTAATGGAAGTTCACCTCAAACAAAATGATGACTCGGACTCGTGGCTCTCCATGCAGGAATCGTGGGGTGCAGTTTGGAAACTAAACTCAGGCTCAACATTGCAAGCCCCATTATCAATTAGGCTGACTGCAAGCAACGGCCAGTCCGTTGTAGCAAATAATGTTATTCCGACTGGTTGGCAACCAGGCCAGACTTACCGGTCGGTTGTCAACTTCGAAGTCTAATAAACTCCGGAATCTTGTATTTGATGATTTGATAAATAAGATTTCATATAGTAATTAATTACCATTAGTCAACTTATTGTCCGTACATCTAATAAATTTCGGTTTGTCTTTATAAAAAAATTAAATTCAATAAGCTGCCAATTGTGGAAAAATATGTTACCTTCTCTTGCTTGATTTTGACATTTTCATTATTCTAATTTATTATTATTATTTGTAAAACAATATTTTTTTTGAGGGAAAAGACGATATTCATTAAGAAGAGAACATGTACACAAATATGGAGGATAGGGTGCATATTGCATATTGATTGGGCCTCGATAAAACCTTGTCGGGGATTACAACTCGACCGAAGGGAAAAAGAGTGTCCCGCACATTCAAACAAAGAGAACTATCCTCCTAAAAGTACAATAAAATCAATTACTATCTAGGACAATCTTCCAACAAAGCATCCATGATTAAATCCGGCGGATCTTCAAACCACACCATCTCAGTATCACTACCAATTCATGCGCGTGCTAGGCGATGTGCCACCTAATTGGCTTCCCGTTGAACATGGGAAGCTCTCACCTTGGGAAATGAAAGTAACAGCCTCCTAATGTCATTGATAATTGGTCCCATAGTGGACACATCCTCTTCTTGTCTCTTCACGGCAGCGAGAACAATAACAGAATCCTTTCAAAATCTGGGATCAACTCCTTGTCAAACAATAGAGCCTTTCTAGCTGCCAACAACTCCACCTGCAACGAAGAGGCATCATGTGCAATGTGGACCGAGAGTCCAGCCACAAACTCACCCTCCTGGTTCCTGAAGACGATCCATACTCCACCTTTTGCGCACTCTTCACCAATGGCAAAGCCAGGAATTGACGAAGGGAGGGGCGAAGTTAAAAGAGTGCAAGGTTCAAAAGAATAGCAATAACCAAATCCTTTATATAGTAATGTCTTCCATAATTGATCAATACAAACAAATTACAATTGTTGCTGGCAAGGTTTCGTATCATGAAAATGTCGCATAATAGGCTCTTTAATAATAAAAGAAAATACATCTCTCTCAATGTGAATAAATTTAAACCTAAAAGTGCCTAAATATAAAAGTGCACTGTGAGCGGGAATGAAGTCATTTCACACGTGATGTCAAAGCATAAGTACCGTACAGTAAGATAGGGTGAGAATTACACCATCGTAGGTATTCGTCTACACCAAGATTTGCCAAGAATCTTCGCCGATACAAAAGTTGAGCTGCTAAAACCTGGAGGGGCGAAAAACAAGGGTAAGTGGGCTTGAAAACAAAGCTTTAATAAAAACCTTTTTAAAACGTTATAACCCCTAGCCGTAAAGCAAGTATAGTTTCTAGAAAATCATACTACGTATGGGTATGAAATCAAACGCAATCAACAGTAAATCCAGAAGTATGCCACATCACAATATCTCAACAGTAATAAGTAAAATCAGGTGTTCAATCAATCTATACTAGGACACAAGTTGGAGTGGCCTAATGCGACCTGTACAACTGAACTGATGCTTATCAATCTATGTTAGCACACTAGTCGAAGTCGCCTAATGAGACTTGTACAACAAGACTAGGTGTCATCATAATATACACTTTAGTGCTACAATCACATGAAGATTGGCACTAAACGTGGTCACATACGAGTTGAAGTTGCCGAATGCAACTTGAACGATAGGACTGGCACTTACTTGGATCCAAGATGAGTGTGCGGTGCGGAGGTGAACATACACATGAAAGACTGGTCCTGGCTCGGGGTAAGCACTAACACCGGGGTGCAGCAATGATGAGCAAACTACATAAATATAAGTATGCCACAGTGATTCGATAGTTGTAATCAACATACTAACATTCAAAGTAGTAGATATAATTATGGCATAAGAGATTATAAGCATACATGTGCATCTCGTAGGATGTAGCATATTTCACAAATCGTCATTTCACTAATTCTGATAAGCTTTAGTCTAATCCAAGCATACGTAAGAAATTCTTTTCAAATGCATAAATGGAAACTATCAATCATACACACACACACACACACACACACACACACAGAACTATAAAAAGGAAAAGACCCACTCACAGATCATGTTGTCGAGTCGAACCCATCTCGTAGCATCAAGAGTCCTTGCAATGCATTTCGCCTAGAAACGAAACCATTTAATGTAAATATATAACGTATTAACGTATAAACGCGTTTTTCGTACAAAGTACGGCTATTAAAGAAACTATTTTAAAACGATTGAATTTTGGAAAACGGAGGGCGGATTCAGGTCCAGCACGTCGAGGAACTTAAGAAGGGACCTTGGGTTCCTCCCAGCACCGCCACGAGCCGCCACAAGGTGGCTGCACAAGCAGCCACGCGCAGTGCACGCATCGTCACCACAATTTTTCTGATTTTTGCATATTTTTCCCTCAAAATTTTGAGCTTATTTTGAGCTTGATTCTCAACCAAATTTGATGATTCAAAAGCCAACAAGAAGCTAGGAATGTGGGGAGGAGGTTTATACTAGTTCGGGGTCCAATCGTGACTGGAGTTGAATGGAGGAACGACCTAAATGTAGCGTGATGATCATGGCCAAATTTTCCAGAAATCTGGAAATTTCTTCCTAACTTTCATAGCTAATTTCTAGTTCAATACTTAACCAAACTTGATGATTCAAAAGCCATTTTGAAGTTAGAAATGTAGAGAACAAAACCATACAAATTAGGGCCAAGTTAAGGTCAGTGATAGCCTATAAAAATGGCCTGAAAGTGGCCAAATGGCCACGGTCTAAGTTTTCCAGAATCTAAGATATTTCATCCCAACTTTGAAGGCTAATTTCTAGTTCGATACTTAACCAAACTCGATGATTCAAAAACCATTTTGAAGGTAGAAATATAGAGAACAATTCTATACCTATTAGAAGCTCATTCGTTATCCGTGCTGACTGGGAAATTGGTCTGAAAGTGGTCGGATGGCCACGGTTTTCATTTCCTAGAAAACTGAAAAATCCTCCCCCTTGTCCAATCCACGCCAATCTTTCTCCAAATCACATACAAGGGTTACAAACAATACCAAAACATGTTTAAAAGGAGAAACCAGGAGATTTTCAAGACTTACCATGATTGCACAGTGCTTCTGTGCACAGAGAATAGAGAGAGAGTTCGAGTGTAAACACCGAGATCATAGGTGGACGAGGGGGACATAGAGGATGATGACTTGGGGATCTAATGAGGTTCCATTTTTCCTGTAGAGTTATGGTGGTGCAGTGATAGTGGTGCTGTGCACGGTTGCACTGGTTTCACAGGGAATGCGAGAGAGTTTGAGATGGATGGGGAGTTGTCCAGGTGGAAGGAATATTGGAGGAGGAAGAGCATTTGTGATGGTGTGGTTTCATCCTAGCGTCTCTGTGGTTCACAGAGAAAAGAGAGTTTAAGAGGGAGAGATGAGATAGAGAGGGTGCTCGAGAGAATAAGAGAGAATGGAAAGGAGAAGACAGAGAAGAAGACACGGGGAGGGAAACATTGGAGAGATGGAAGGAATGGGGTGTGGGCCCCACACGGTACACAAAACAACACACACTCAAAAATCACCTAACAGAAATTACTCGATTGCCCTTCACGTTCGTAAGTTCATAAAATCTTCATCGTAGCTTTAAATTCATTTCTGCTTGCGCCTACGCGTTTGTCGTGACGATTATTACGCAAATACACTAAAAGAATGAGTCCTACGTCTCTCTAACTGATGGTTAATGAAGGTAAAAATCCTTGCCTCTGAGGGAATCTTCGTCAATTCACTCACTTAAAATTAATAAAATCGTAAAATTAGGGATGGGTTGTCACATATACCAAAACGGCGCTGTTTTGTTTCATTTTTTTATTTTTTTTACCATGACCAAAACGATGTCCTTTTGGCCTGGATGTTTTTTTTAAAAAAGAAAGACTTTCAGTGTTGCTATGCAGCAGCAGAACCAAATGACCAAAGATATGGAGGGTTAAACCCGTCGGGTTTTTCCAGCGAAGGGAATGGCTTAATTAACGTTCCAGTCGTGTTCTCCGACGAGGGGAGGGATGGCCGCCACTCTTCACCCTCACGTAGCTTCAGCAGTGCTCTTCATGCACCATCAAAGGATAAAACCAATTGTATAAAAATTATGGGAAATGTTATTGGCACTCCAAAAATCTCATTCTACACTCCTCACAAGTGTATTTTTTTTTTCAAATATAGAAAGTTTGGAGTGTAGAATGAGATTTTTGGAGTGCCAATAACAATTCCCAAAATTATTATTATCTTGGTTTTGACTCCACTTTTAACCCTCTATGGATAAAACCACTTGTGACACATCCCGACTGGAGTCGAGGCATGCTATCCGTCACCTGAAGGTGATGTAACCAAAGGTGCAAGTGATGTAAAAATGTGGATAAATTAAAACCGAAACTAGAACTTATTTAAACTACTAAGGTGAGTATGTAGTAGAAACTAGAACTTATCTATACAAATGTTCAGAGCATAGATGACAAATAGTGCAGTTGAAACTAGAAAAGTACTTAATACACACAGGGATATTCCTACGTTTAAACAAGAATATGTTCGAATCGCCACTAATCCTCGCACACCACAGAGTAGGTAAGCTATCTAGGAGCTGGAGAGGCGAAAAACAAAAGGGTGAGTGGGCACAAAAACAAAGGTTTACAAAATCCATTTATTTTCTGAACATACTAACCCCTCGCTGTAAAACATATATAGTTTCTAGAAAATCATACTACGTATAAGTATGAAATCCAATGCATGCTAACAGTAAAATCAGAAGTATGCCACAACACAATATCTTATCAGTAATATAAATATAATCATGTACTCAATAATCTATACTAGCACGCAAGTCGAAGTCCCCTAATACGACCTGTACAACTGCACCTATTACTCATCAATCTATGCTAGCACACGAGTCGAAGTCGCCTAATGCAACCTGTATGACAGGACTAGGTGTAATAATATACCCTCTAGTGCTACAATCATGTGAAGTCTAGCGTTATTCGTTGTCATATACGAGTCAGAATTGCCTATTGCAATCTGTACGATAGGACTAGCACCTACTTGGATCCAAGATGAGTGTGCAATGCTAATGTGAAGAACACGTGAAAGACTACCCTGGCCCTGGGCTGAGCACTAGCAATGATGAGCAGACTATATGAATGTAAGCATGCCATAATGATTCAACAATTTCAATCAACATAATAACCTTACCTGGACCTACTTGCGCGTCCCGTAATTATTTTAGCATTTCACAACAATGCAACATTTACCAGCAGGTAAAATGCATATGAATATGCCATGACAATATATAAATCTCAACCACATAACAACATTTTTAAAATTAATAAAACATGGCATAAAATGCATAAATCAATTTAAAAGCATTTGTGGAAACTATAAGTTTATATATATATATATATATATACACACACACACGAAAACAAATATGCCTACTCATTTCTCATTGATATGTTGATGGATCGTAACCCTTAGTCTCACTTGTCCTCGTACATCGTCGGGGTAAGTCACCCCTATATGCGAAACAAATAATACTAATTAATTAATAAGGACATACACTAAAAGCTAGGAATAACACCTATAGTTTGCTCAAACAGAAGGTTTGAACATACGAAAATGTTCTACTCGAAGTCACGGAACTGCACGTGTCAACCACTTGCTGGCCAGAGGCCGGACGCGCAGCCATACGCCTCCTAACCCTTGGCCACACGCTTGGCAGAATCTGACAGAAGACAGGAATATTCTGTTAGAGTTGACAGAATATTTCGTTAAACAGTTAACAAAACCTGACGCCGTTACCAGATGCCATTAGAATATTCCATAAAGTCTGACGGAGTTGGGCAGCTGTGATCCCATCATATTCTTTTCGATCATTTGAGAAAGAAAGATCATGATTGGGCTAAGGAGACTTTGGAGATAAGTGGAGAGTAGGAGTCTGATTCTTCCCTTAAGTTACGTGTTCTGACAATTTTCATCATCGGTAAGTAGACTGTTTGGTCTTTAGGCTGCTTTGTGCTTTTGCTGAGCTACTTTCTGATATGCTGATTATCCTCATTTGCTTATGTAGATTTGGAATTTGGCTCAACTCCCAAGATTTCTCTAGATATGAAAAAGGCGCATGTTGCTTTATGTATCTCTGCTGAGTACCGTGAATAGTGTTGGCTGCTTAATCTTCTTCCCCAAAAGAAAGGTGGGCTACCCCCGAGAGAGGAGATAAAGTTGATCAAAGAGGATGCATTAGCTTGTCTGATCACTGTCGTGGAGCCTGCTGTGAATGAAGGTGGAAAAAAAAAATTTCATGCCTACTCAAGAGATACAGATTGAGAAAAAACCAAAGACCTCATCCGCTGCTCGTGAGGGTCCACCTGCTACCGAGATGTTTGTGATTGACTTGACTTCTTCCAAAGGGAAGAAAGATAAGGCTGCTAGATCTAAACCTGTGACGTCTGCCATGTTAAAGATAGCTAGTACAATTGTTGACAAGATTACTCAGCGTAGAGGTTCCGTCGTGCCCTTAGTGCTGATTTCTATGCCAATACATCCGTCGGGAGTGAAGTTTGGTTCACCTTTTGAGGGGCTTGCTACTATGAAAAACGATAAGGTGGACTCTGCTTGAAGCCATGGACTCGTGTGCCAAGCTTTTTGGTGGCGTTAGAGCAGTTCTTTGCCCAAGTTCATTTGCGAAGCATACGACTTAATATAAGAGGACTACTCTGCTTTCCATGATGCAAAAATGGCGATTCTGGTAGCTGAGTCTATGCTCTATGATGCAGAAAACAATGATTATGGAAATTGAGGCTTATTCTTCAGCTGAGAGGATAAAAAAGTTGGAGTTTGAGATCGTCGCTTTGAAAGGGTCCAATATCTCTGCCCCTACTTCTCTGCAGCTTGAGATTGCTAGCAAAGAGATCGTTGACTTGAAGACTAGGCTTAACGCGATCCAAGTTAAGTATGAAAATGTAGAGAAGGAGATTGGTCGTTACATACCTAAGATTCAAGATGTTGAATGTGCTGCTTCTGAGCTTCGTTCTGCTGCTTACGCAAAGGATGGAGAGTTGATTACCTCTTATAATCAAGTGATCCATTTCAAGAAGATCATCGATAGGCTTGAACCTCAAGTGTTGGAACTCCAAGGTGCACTGAAGATCAATGACAATCTGAAGAAAGAACTGGATGAGCTGCAACGCGTTTGTGTTGGTCTACTCGAGGAGAACGAGCAGCTCAAAGTGAGAAGGTTAAACTCGAGGCTTCGCTTGTTTAGAGTTAGGCCAGTTTCTAAAAGATGGGCAATATAGATCATCTCTTTGGTAGGCCGTCTGACTTTGAGTTTGTTGGGAAAAACTTCGAGACTTTTTCTATTTCTCCGAAAAACTTTGCTTGCTTTACTTTTGAGGCTTCCATTGGTGAAGTAGTAGGAGAAATTGATACCCAAGTTGGGGTAGCTAGGGGTGAAGCATTAGATGATGCCACTGATGAGAGTGTGACAGCTGCTAAAGGTGTGGTGACCGAGTAGTCGTGTGATGTCCAAGTTGTTGAAGAGTAGTTTTCTATGTAGCCTTTAGGATTTTCTTTGTTTTCTTTGTTGTTTTTTTTTCTTTGCTTGAACTCCATCAACCTTTGTTATTTGTGTATTAATTTTTCTAGAAAATTTAATACACTTGTTTCCTTCACATTTCTTCATCTTCGTTTTTTTTGTTTAGGCCTAACCTTTGACTCTTAGACTAGCGGTAGGCGTGCTATTTTTTTATAAGTAGACATGCCTATTGGAAATGTGCCCTAAAACCAATCATATGATGATACTTTACAGACATTTCACATGTTAAACTAATCTAGTTTAATATCAAGGGCAAAGATTATTGTTTTAAGCCGTCTCATATAAATGTTATATGCTTAAACGATAAGTCCAAGGAATATGTAATTAAGGAGAATGTAATTTAAAGAAGTTAGATTCATGAGACCATTCTCTTTCGTTTACATATCCTAAACGTTCCTGATCATAGGATTGCCAATTGGGCATTGATAGTCCGTTAAGATCAGTACATGTTGTGTCTTCTCTCAGGGAGAGTGACTGGTCTCGAGTCATTGGTGTGATTGATACCAAGACAAGCATGTAGGTGCTAAATAAAGAATAAGTCCACTGAACATGATCAACGGGGAGTTCTCATACTCATGTCACATGAGAACTCATGGTTGGGATAATGCAAAGTAGTTTTGACCTGAGGCATCAATAGTTGTCTTGTGGTTAGGTCTTGATCTTTGACTATGTCAAAGTCACTCTATCAGAGGGTGTCCACGGCATAGTTGGGGTTAAGTCACTAAGCCATGGAGGCAAGTGAATGCGCAACAAGGGATCTTTAACCTTCAAACCGTTTGAAGGAGAATACTCTATGATATGATTAAGAATCTCTGGCCAGAGTATGAATGAGATTTAG